CAGAGACTGGAGGCCCGGCCCTAAGCCCGGTCAGGGTACGCGGGTCGGACCGTATTTTTATTTTTTTTAATATAACCGAGCCGGACCTGGTTTAGAAATTTTTTTTTGGATACTTAGATACCCGGGCCAAGCTGGTGCCGTATATTTTAAAACCGAATATTTTAAATCGCCATTGGTAGCTATAGATATGCGTGCCAAAATAAAAAAATTTTAGAAAAATTCTGGGCCGGGTAAATGGTACCTTTATAGGTCTCTACAAATAAATACCGTGTAGTTATATAAAAAATAATGAAAATATTATTTGTAAAAAAAAAAAAAGAATATTAAATTCTATTTTCTTTGATACATTTTCTAAATAACCATATTTAAAATTAATAGAAACCGCGAGAAGAGATTCATCCGGCTACAGTAAAGACGCCCAAGCTTGGATTCCTTTAGGAATAGCTATTGTATGTCTAGTCATCCTGGGTTTAGGTGTGTTAACATTCATAGCAGTTATGACCAAGAGGAAAAACAGGGGTACGATTTTATTTGCACTAAGGTCTACGTAATAATTGATATAAGGTATAAAAAAAAAATTTATAATATAATATAAAAAATTTGAATTATTATTTAGATAGCATTATTTACAAGAAACGCGTGCCGAATTTGACTAAAATACCTCCTAAGACGTATCAAAATCCTAACGCGAATGTGGCAAAGGCGGGGCCGGCAAAACCAACTAACCCGGCTTCGAAAGGATTCGCTAACCCTACTTATAAGTTGCCTTCTACTAGCTCCGCCAAGCCCGTTAACGCCGCTATGACTAACCCTCCTAAGGCTCCGCCATACGGGGCCCAAAATAAAAACAACAATAGTAGTAATAATCATCCCAAGAAGTATCCGGAAGTGATGTGGAACATTGATCTAAGATCCGATTAAAAATAATCTTTCCACTATATCATGTGTCGTGATGAAGTAGGAATCATCAAAATAATATAACACGAATTAAATAATATATTATTTACACAAATTTATCATGTATATTTTTTTTTAATAGAAATTTTTATGCTTAGAATTGTTTTAAAAAACTTTTTATTTTTTTGGGGAGAGTTGAAATATGTAAAATTATTATTTAAATAAAATATATTATAATAATATAATTTACCTTTGCAATCATTTTATATTTCTCCGCAAATTAATTCATTATTACAAAATAACGCCGGTAAATTTGTGAAGATACAATTTCATAAAATATATATAATTCTTCTTCGACAATAATGTTTTGATACCTCTTGTGCATTAGATTTACGACAAGAAATTTATTATTTTTTTTACTCTGGTCAAACTTTACGAATTCCATATTATTGTATTTTTTTTTATTAATATTATATTGCGTGAATTTAATAGATGATTAAAGAATAAAAACCGCAATTTTACACTATTATCTAAAATCATTTTCAATATCTCGTAGACTTCATCTGCCATAATTTTATATGGGAGTGATATATCTTTAAAATTTAAATAATTAATCAATATCGAATTCGGGGAGAAGAAAGAACGTATGAACATGATCACAAATTAAGATATCATTTATACTAATTAATATGATAATGTTAAAACAAAATTAGAAAAATATTTATAGCTGATAAACAAGTTTTGAGCCATTTTTTATTATTTAAAAACTAGCCAGCTTGTATTAATAACGCGTCCCGAAGACTCTATTTTAGGGTTTTTTCTCTTACTATAGTGATTTTTATTAGTGTTTAAGCATCTCTCGACAAAATATAAGTAATGGCTTTCTTGCAAACAGAATTAGATCATCTATTCGATACCTATATTACATGGGATTTCTATTTATCTCAAATATTTATTATATAGGTTGGCATTATAATATCGTACAGATAGACAATATCCTGTAGGAATTATATGAATTTATTAATCCCGTTTGAATTGAGTAATCTGGAGAGATAATCTAAAAACATTGCATAAGTGGGATAAAATTTCTCAATGTTAATGCATCGATCACTATTGACATAGTGTTCTATCATATATCATTGTACTTTTCAAATTGATAATCATATTGACGTCTTTCCTTTTTCACAATAACTTTAATTGTTCTCTGGAGGATTCAACTTTTTTCTCTTTTACTCCTCAGTTATGAAATTTATAAGGTGTCCCAAAAGATATAAAAGCTTATAGAAACAATAGAATAGGAGGTAACAATTATTATATTCTATTTCAATGCCACTTAACTAAAAGGATAACGAATATTTTTAATCTCTCATATATTATTTGTCACATATTTTTGTGATGTTTTGTGACAAAGAGTAACAGTACTCGGATTTGGAATTAAACTCACCATTAAATACGATAACTGAACATTTGTCGCAGCAGCCTGGCGGTATGCCCTCCCCGCAGCAGCTTAGCGTTGTGTCTTTGCAGATTATGAAATTATTTATTTTTAAAGTTGATTTATTTTAGTCTTATGAAAGTGGATATGCCCAATTTAGGTATTAGTCCATAGCTAATCAAAATATCTATTCAACAGAGAGAATTTATAAAAATCAAGTTATATTAATTGTATTAATGTTGCGTTATTATAATTATATATTTTTGTAATCTAATTTTATTTTTATATTACATTTTATGAATTCAAATTTATCTTTTCAACTTAACTTTTTATTTTTGTAATTCAACTTATATTACTTATTATTTTGCGTAACCTTATTTATATAACTTTCGGTTTAACTTTACTTTTTTTTATATTATTTTATTTTTTATATTTGTTTATATTCTAATTTATATTTTATAAAAACGTATAAATACTTTAAGAAAAGAAAAAGAAATTAGTTAATAAAGTTAATAAAATATGTTTTTTATTTGATAAAGTTATTAAATCTTATTTATCATTCACCGGCACATATTCATGTTATTTTACATGGTGCCTCCAGTGTTGGCATAAGAAACTCGCCTCATGGAAAATTTTTTAAAATTAAAATTTTTTTTTTCTTTTGTAAAAATTGGTTAATAAAAAAATTATAAAATGGTACAAACAATTCTATATAAGATGGATAAAAAAAAGGGTAAGTCATTTAAAAATTATTTTCATCAAATATGTTCGCCTTCAAACTAATTAATATACCCCACCAAATCTCTGTCTACGATATTTTATTTGAGTTAACCTATAATACCGATGTCGACTTTTATAGGATAGACGGTACGGAAGACGTGCTGTTTGAATTCATGAACTTAAGAGACATGATTAATTGTTTCGAATTTTTAAATGGGAAACATTATATTTATAATGACAATGATTTCATTGAATTAATCTGTATATTTACCAAAACATGAATAGCTATACCAAAAATTTGAATTGATAAAATAATAAATATTATAATTGCTTATATATGTGTCTTATTAATTAAATATGGAAATTAAACAAGAATTTACACATAAGATCCCTAAGTTAGTGGGTCCTCTTACTGAAATTTATTTAGATAGAATATTAAATTACTTTTCGACCAGTACATTATCGGACTCTATTAAAATTAATACTTTGCTTAATAATTTATCAGATGAAGTTTTTGACGACATTAAGGCAATTTGTTCTGATACCGATATTTTAGATCTTAAAATTGTGATTAAAAAGTTAACCTATCTTTTACCAGCGCTAAATTTAAATACTTTAATTAATAAGTTTAATCTTCTTCAACAAAACTCATCAGAAAGTTTTATGTTATGGTACATTAGAGTATCGAAACTTCATAAGAAATGTAATTTTTTGGACGATAGTAGATTAAAAGAGAAATTACGGACATCTACTTTAAACGATAAAATTAAATACAAATTTTCCAAAAATTTTGACCTGACATTGAATCAGATGGTGGAATTAGGGGTGAAACTGGACTCTAGTAATATTAAGTCTGAGGATAATGATATAAGTTATATGAATAATGATAAAAAATCCGATAAAGATAAAAATTTTTGCAGTAGAAATGATAATAATTTTCGAAATAATTTTAGAAATAATTATGATAATAGATATAGAAATGGGAATTACAATAATAATTTTAGATACAATTATGGTAATAATAATTCGCGATACCACGATAATTATAACAATTATAACTATAACAATTATCGCTATAATAATAATAATAATCAATCGAATTTTGGTAGAAATAATACATGGTATGATTATAATCAAAGAAAACAAATTCAATACGGTGACGTAAATCGTAATAATTACCAATCTTATTACAACAACTCAGATAATTATAGAGGTAATGATAAGTATCAGAGAAAGCAAATACAATATAACAACAACTCAAATAATTATAGAGGTAATGATAATATTCAGAGAAAGCAAATACAATATAATAACAACTCAAATAATTATAGAAATGGCGACGAAAATAATAAAAAGCAAATACAATACAATAATGATTACAACATGAATATTGAAGAAATTATTGAAGAGAAAGTTGATTCTACAAAGAACAAAGATGATAATGATTTTAATGTCAACAATTTATCTGGTGACGTGATTAATGACAATGATAACGCATTTATGACCACTGTAAAAGTGAACGATGTTGTTACTTGTATGCAGGTGGACACTGGATCCAAATACACTATCATACCTCATGGTCTGGCTAAAAAACTTGGTATTAGAGATCTTAAGAAATCCGAGCTACAACTCACTGCTTATGACGGGAATTTAATCAAAATCATAGGAACTACTCAAGTTAAAGTGACTTATGATGGTATGTCCAAATATTTACAAGCGGTAGTGGTTGAATCAAGTAAAAATGCCTTGTTGGGACGTATGTGGATCAATGCTTTCAAAAATATTTTAAATAAATTTATAGCAAATATTGACACTAATTACGAAGATGAAATAAAAAAATTGATTAAAGAGTGTGAATCGAAATTAACTAATGGGCCAATCAACAAAGCAAGTGTCAAGTTACATTTAAGAAATGATGCCCAACCTAAAATTATACCGCCTAGACGTATTCCTTATTCAAAAATTAATCTTGTTAGTAATGAACTTAAGAAATGGATACATGATGAAATAATTGAGCCGGTGAATGATGTCCGATGGGCAAGTCCTGTTACTGCTGTCTATAAAGAAGATGGGAGCATTAGGCTTTGCGCTGATTTTAAGGATACTGTAAACCCAGCTCTAAAAGACTTTAGATACCCTCTACCACGAATTAATGATCTAATTGCTAAACTTTCGGAAGGAAAGAAATTTACGAAGATTGACTTTAAAAATGCTTTCTTACAGATTCCAATTGATAAAAGTTGCAGAAATATTTTAACCATATCTACGCATAAGGGATATTACCAATTTACTAGACTTCCTTTTGGGCTTAAGACCTCATCTGCAATTTTTCAACAGATTATGGATCAAATCTTCGGGGACATGGATGACGTTATATTTTATATTGATGATTTACTTATAACTGGAAAAAACGATGAAGCCCACCTAAACAACATAAAAAAAGTGTTCGATAGAATATCATCGTTTGGGCTAATACCTAACTTTAATAAAAGTGTGTTCTTTAAAAACAAAGTGAGGTTCCTGGGTCATGATATTGACGCTAAGGGGATTCATGCTAATCACGACAAAATTGAAGCAATAATTAATATGCCAGAACCAAAATCAGCTGCTGAATTATCAACATTTCTGGGAATGGCTGGCTACTATAGAAAATTTTTGAACAATTTTGCGGAAATTGCCGATCCTCTTTATAAGATTGTCAATAAAGAAAAATGGGCTTGGAATCTAGAACACTCTAAAAGTTTTAATGATCTAAAGAAGTTAATTAGTCTTCCACCTGCTTTGACATATTTTAACCCTGAATTACCTATAGGGATAGCCACTGACGCATCAAAATGTGGTTTAGGAGCTGTACTATTTCATATTGAAAAAGATGGTAAAGAAAAACCTATAGCTTTCGCGTCGAGAACTTTATTAAAATCTGAAATGAATTATACCAATATTGAGCGTGAGGCTCTCGCTATAATGTTTGCCATAAAGAGATTTCAGGAATATTTAATCGGCACAAAATTTACAATTATTACTGACCATAAGCCTCTAGTTCACATCTTCACCAAGGGTCTCAAGGATAATAGCACCATGT